GTGCAGCACTGGGAGAGCCAAGGCCGCAGGTTCGGATCCTATATAGGGATGGCCGGTGCGCTCACTGGCTGAGCGTGGTGCTTGCTGACCACACCGTGCCGATGCAATCCCCTTACCGGTCAAAAAAAAAAAAAAAAAAAATCCCACATAAAATAGTGTGCTTCCACAAGTATTAATTTTGTTCGAAATGGCTACGTGAAATTCCTAAGCAAGACTTTTAAATAAGTTCTGTAAATTTTTGTTACCATTGATGAGAAACATGTTCACACGATTTAAAAAGTTTTTAAAACCATTTTTACAATGACTTAAAATGTTTTAACAGGTGAACTTAAAAAGGATCTATTACCTTTTCTTTAATCAACAAATGTAATTTTGATATTTCTTGTGATAATGCAAATAGATTTCAAATCCCACCAAACTTTTTCATAACAAGTATTTCAAAATAATGATAAAAGGAGTCATAGTGCAGCTGGCGTAGATGCTACTAAAAGTGCCAGGTGTTGCCCTGCAGGAACCCCACTGCCCCCTGCTCCCTACAGGCCTCGCTCTGCATTGTGTCTTGCAACTGTGAGCTGTGTATTCATGTGGCAGCCCTGAGGCAGAAGTAGATCCTTGGCAGCGCTCAGCTTCTTGCAGATTGGTGGTGGTTCAATGGCTTTTACCATGCCACCTGGAGACCTGTGGGCATGCCAGCTGACCCCACATGGTTGCCTTCTGAAAAGTCTGGGTGGAGGATACTTTGGACTGGAGGATCTCAGGGCTTCCCTTCTCCCCAACCCACAAGCTACCCCTGTGGGCTGAGAAAAGAAGCGTTAGACTGCATACCTGTCATCTGTTCAGGGCACCAGAGGTGGGAAACTGCTCTAGAGCATGCATCAGGATCACCTGGAGAAACCTAAGAGCGAAGCCCTATTGGGGAGTCATCATAGAAACGTACAGAGATTTTCAGAAAGGGAGGGGACACCAATAATAAACAGCAGAGATCATCTATGATGCATTTGAGAAGTCCATAAAATTTATCAGTTAGTAGATTTGTTATTGATGATTTGGGTAAAAATAAGATGTCCAGAGTAGCAGTCTGATTGCTTTGGACTGAGTAGTGAATGATGGATGAAAAAGCAGAAAAAATGGAGCATAGACTATTTATTCAAGGATTTGGCCATGAAGGAAAGGCTAGAAGGGGATGTAACTCAAGAGAAAGTGTTTGTTTCTCCCTCATTTTCTTTCTTTTTTTTCTCTGTGTCTGTATTTTGTGTGTGTGTATGTAAGATAAAAAAAGATCAGAGCATAATTTTGTTATAGGAAAGGAGTCTGTAAAGAGATGTTGAATATACAGGACTGTAATAACCAAAGGGCAAGGTCATGGTCTTAGAGAAGTTGGGGGGATAGAATCAAAAGAAGGATCGATGACTCCCTCACCCACTAAGACCAGAAGAGTGAGGGGGCTAGTTTAGAGGCCTGGGCTGGAAGTCGAGGGAGTTCAAGTGTGACAGCCTCCATTTTCTCTGCGGGTTGGAGTAAAGCCACTTTATAGTGGTGGGGCAGGAGTGGGGTAAGAAGTGTGAGAGCAACGGCAAAGGCTTGCAGTAATTGCTGTGGGAAATGGACTCGAACAAGGGCAGCAAATGGCTGCAAATTGGACATAATAAAAAAAAACTGGGAGGCAGGAATGTTTATGGGTTCTATCATGTGCTTCTAACTCATCATTCCCTCACTATGTTCTTCAAAAGATTCTCTCACCTTAGTTATAAGGCATACATTAAAGCTCCAGCAGCTCTAAACATACACACATGCACACGCACATGCATACACACCCCTTTACTGGCTGTTTTCTGACAGGAATGTGGTAGGAGCAGCTGCAACTAAAATACACTCCAGATGCAATCCACACTGGGAGGAGACCAGGTGGAGGCAGTTAATTATCAGAAGAAAAGTGGGCTGTAGTCATTATAATAAGCAGCAGGGTGGAAAACACATTGCTTTGACACACAGCTCTCTGGTTGTGGTTAATTAGTTGGAGGATCCCAAAGAATTAACTCAATAAACAACCGCTAAGTCTTTTTGATTTGTGTAACAACAAAACAAACCAACAAAACACAGCTCTAGGTCTGGGAAACAAAGGCTTCTCATGAGGGAGAAAGACATGACTTGTCACTCTAATCCTAGCACTAATTCACATCCCAGATCCAGAGCCTTTTGAGCATAGCCCAAAGATTCCTTAAGAAATATGCTGCAGGAATGCTGTATCTAAGACTGCAAACTTTCATCGCAGCCTTTCCCCAAAGGCCTTGCCATCCCTTATGGATAACACCTCTGGAGAAAAGGAAATACCCAAACTTTTCAGTGACTATCACTTGCTAATTCCAAACAAACACTAATTTCTGGGACCCCAAATGTCACTGTTTGCCATTAATATTTTGAGCTTATAGGGGTTAGGTGATAAATGAACTGAATTCTGGCCCAAGTTCACCTTCAGGCAGGGCTATGGACCTGTGAATTCATCCTATGGTTATGGACCCTAGTTACCAAATGGATAGGTGGAATAGGTAATCTTGCAACTGAAAATTCCTTCATTGACACACTCACTCAAGGAATAAGGGCTACTTTGGTAGGAAGCACCAAGTGGGGTGCCAAAACAGTACACTGAAAACAATACCGCACACCTGGAGAACTAGAGTAAATGTCATCATCAAAGGAGAGAAAGTTGTGATGGTTCCCACCTCATTCTCATTCACTTCACAGGTCAGCCACCACAGAAAACTGATGGGTCTTGGTTACTGTAAACCCATGCAAGTGGTGACTTCAATTGTAGCTACTCTTCCCAATGGGATGTCTTTAATAAAGCAGCTTCATACAGCCCAACACTTAGTTTGCAATTATTGATCTGGGATTTAGCTCCAGAATATCGTTTTATTTATGTGTATATTTTTATTTATTTTTGATAATACGTATCTATGGGATACAGAGCTATCAGTATTTGTGTACAGTATGTGATGATTAAATTAATATTATTAGTATGTTCATCACTACAAATAGTAATTATTCTTTTTGTCCCTTACCCAGTTACTTCCTAACCTCTTTCCCTCTCCCCTTTTCCCACCTCTAGTATCTATAGGTCTGTTTTCTCCTTCTGAAAGTTCAATGTTTTATTGTAGTCTTTTTTTCTTTCATAGCTCCTACTTATGAGTAAAGACATACAGTATTTCTCTTTCTGTGTCTAGCTTATTTCACTTAACGTAATTTTCTCCAAGCTCATCCACGTTGCTGTGAATGGCAGAATTTCATCCTTTTTTTCTGGCTGAGTAGTATTCCATTCTGTATATATACCACATTTTCCTTATCCAGTTATCCATCGATGGACATTTAGGTTGGTTCCATATTTTGGCTATTGTAAATAGAACTGCAAGGAACATGGGAGTGCAGGTATCCCTTCGATATGATGATTTCCCAGAATATTTTTTTAATGGCTCTCTCTCTTTTTATAGTATGTACCAATAACTTTTTTGATTCAATCATAAATTTTGTTTTTGTTGTATATCACTCTTTCTTTGTTCATGTCTGTATATCAGTTTCTTCACTTTAAAATGGAGATCATAACTGTAGCTTTCTCAGAGTTACTGGGAAGAAAATTAGATAATCTATGGAAAAAGCACATAATAAGTGCTCAATATCTGTCACCTCTTATTATCTCAGATAATTGGGGATGAGAATCCGGTTTACTATCTTTTTTTTATTGTTCATTTTGCAGGATTCATTCTTAAGTCATTCAATGAGAAGATAAACTTTCTGAATCCTTGCATGTCTGAAAATGATTTTACTTTCCCCTCTCTTTAATGCTGATTTGCCTGGGTAAAGGATTCCAGGTTCAGCTTTGAAAATATTGCTCCATTAAGAAATTCAATGGCAATCTAATTTCTTGCTTTGTAGGTAACACTTCTTTTTTTTTTCCTTTTTTTCGTGTCTGGCAACGGATCGCAACCCTCAGTGTCGCGCCCGTACTGGACCGGGACCGGCAACGGGATCACAACCCTCAGTGTTGCACCCACACCTCCCTCAGCCAGTGAGCGGGAACCGGTCTGTATGTGGGATCCGAACTCTCGGCAGGAGCGCCGCTGCACTCCCAAACGGCGCACTGTAGCAGTGCGCCACCAGGGCGGCCTGTCGGTAACACTTCTATATAAAATCTCTTGATTCGCTTTCTCCTAGGCTTTGCCTAGGATAGGATGCACTGTAGCAGTGCGCCACCAGGGCGGCCTGTTGGTAACACTTCTATATAAAATCTCTTGATTCGCTTTCTCCTAGGCTTTGCCTAGGATAGGATCTTTTTCCATTGGCTATTCTAAGGACTCAGTGGGCCCTTTTAATCTGAAGATTAGTGTTTTTCTTCAAATCTGGAATACTTTCTTCTACTCAACTCTAACCCACACCACCATTCTTTCTGTTCTTGTTTTTCTATAACTTCTGTCACTCAAATGTTGCAATGTCTGGATCCATTTTCCATGTCTCATAATTTTCCTTTTGGCGAATTTGCTATTCAGCCCTGCACATTCTGCTAGAAACCAGCTTGTATCTTATTTTCTTTCAGGGATTCCTTAATATTCCGGGCTCATTGATGGAACATTTTGTTCCTATAGGTTTCTTAAAAAATTTTATTATGTCATGGAATTTTAGGCAGAAGATAAGGTAGATGTGTGTGCTCGTCTTTTTCTCGATTCACATTCCTTGGTTATCTTTTGGTTTGTCTCGTTTCTTTAATAAGATTGGCGAAGGGGACCTCCCCACCAACTCCGGGCAAAGCGGGAGGAGGCGGCGAGGACTAGTCGTTGCCTTGAGAGGAAGCAGGGAGCGTGCGGTGGGTGTGGGATGGACAGAGCTGCTGGCGGGACGGTCTTCACGTGGGGCCCTCTCCGTGCACTGGCGAAGGCGGTGTTACCTTTGCCTGATTTCCTAGTCCTGGCTCCCAGAGAGTCATCGACGAGAGTTTCTGTCTGATGCAGAGAATGGCACCCAACACAAACCCAGTTAATAGATCACACGCGAGCCAGTGGCAGGTGAGACACACGTAGGTTAATCCACCCAGGTTGAGATTTCCAGTATGATTTGTGGGGGGCTTTGCGATGAGCATGTCCTAGAATTCCCTCCCAGTGTTGCTTTATCGCCTTCAGAACTCACATCTCAGGTGTTTACGTTCTCCTGGTGGTCTTAAAAACATTTTTTAAAATGGGTTTGTCCGCTTTTCCTTATGAACAATGTTTCTGTCTTAAATCCCGTAGGGTACAATGTCTGAACAAGAGCGTATACAGGAATGTCTAAGGAAGGAAATAAGGTCACTTCTCATTTCCACCAAAGATGGTTTGACCTCACAGCAATTAGAAAAGGAGTACCTTTTGATGGTTGGCAACCATCTACCACTACGGATCCTTGGGTATCGGTCCACTATGGAGCTGGTGTTGGACATGCCTGATGTTGTTAGTGTCTGCCACTGTAGGGATGGTACTACAATACTGAAAGGTAGGTTTAAGGTTTTCGAAGGTCTATAAACTTTGTAAAAAAAAAAAAAAAAAATCACTTAGTAAAAAATTGTTCTGGCTCTGCAATTATTCTATGTCCCAGGCAGTGGATTTTAATGGGGAGGGGGTGCGCCATAGGTGCCTTTGAGGTTGTGGGAAAAGTTAGAGCCTCAGCAAAATAAGAGACCATTCCCCAGAAAAATGTGCATTCACAAAAGCTACAGTTTGCATATGGTTTCATGTTATCGAACCTGAAGTTTGGAGAAACATAACAGTGGGTCTTCTAAATTGTGGGTTTTAAATTCCACGAAGCGCAAAAAAACATTGTAGGGAAGTTCATCTCAAGAGTTTCAAATCTTTCAGGAGTTATTTAGCCCTAATGATAATCCACTGGGTGGTCTTTTCATCCACTGATAGAGAAGAAAGCAAGCTGTTCCTCAAAATGCAAGAAATGGAGGAACTGAGGGTTTTTTATTGTGCTACCTAGATAAATAAATAGTTCCTTGGAGAGTTAAAAACTGTCTTGTGTTGTCACAGATACAAAGGGTAGAAAAGGGAGTAACCTTTTCACTTAAACGTGATTTTTTTTTTCCACATATCCGTAGCCATTCCAGATGAATCCACCAAAGGCATAGCAAGTTTAGTTGCAAAACAGAGGAGCAGCCATAAGGTTCGAAACTCCATGCAGAAGGGAAGGGCAGGTGTTTGCTCTGGGCCAAGCTCTCAAAGGCGGGTACCTTACCGAGGAAGCATGCCCCCTGTTCTTCCAGCTGTTGTGAAGAGTGAGTTGAAAGACCTCTTGGCATTATCTCCTGTTCTCCTTTCTGATTTTGAAAAGGCATTTGCCAAGCGATTTGGACGATCATTCCAATATGTGCAATATGGATTCTTCTCTATGTTTGAAGTGCTGAATGCAGCTTCAGATGTCATTTCTGTAGTGCAGACCAGAGCAGGTTCTCTGTTGATGCTAAAGAAGAGTGTATCAGAGGAAAGAGGATGGCCAGCAGGTAAGCATGTTAGCATTAATAATTGTATTGCACATCAGCAAATATTGGAGTGATGTGGCACATATAGGGGTATGTAATAGCTCCATGAATTTATTGAAGTTGAAACCTGGCTCTACTTGGTAGCTGAGTGATCTTAGGTAAGTTACTTAATCTGTCTAAGCCTTAGCTTCCTCGTCTCTAAAACAGGAATAACTTGCCTCTCGAGGTTGAGCTGAAGACCTACCATGAGATGAGTTCTGTAAAGTGCCTGGCATTTAGTAAGTGGTAGCTATTGTTATTAAAAAAACAAGATCAGTTCTCTCTAGAACACTGTACATGAACATTAGTTATGTGTTCATGTAAAGAAGATATAACATGGAAAATGAAAAGTTAAAAATAATACTTGTTAGTAGCATTAGCCCATCTGATCTTTACCGTCACTGGGGATATCCTAAAAGGCACTTCAATAACTTATATAGTGTAATGATAACCACCTTATTTGTATAATATTTTACCTTGCATCCTCATTATCATACCATAGACATGTAGAGTGAGTAACTCTCTCTTACAGATGAGGAAACCAAAGCTCAGGAAGGTTAAATGACTTTGGCTAGAGTTAGATACACAGCAATTATTACTGCTCATCCAGTGCTTTTCTACCTAATTGCTTTCTCTCTTAAAGCCTCCGAAGACCAGTGTGATCATTTGTGTAGTGTCTCCTTAGATCTTTGACAATGTAGAGTTTATACACTGAGCAGAGGGGGAGCCTATTTGGGAGGATTCTGTGCTTATTTCAGGGATTCTTTTTTTCTCCAAAATCTGCATTTAGAATAATGTAGTTGAACTACAAGAATGCGTCATGGTTTACAAACCAATATTTTAACTCTGGTGGGTAATGTAGTTCGAAGATATGAAGATATGCTCTGGTCAGATAAGAGCCTCTGAGAGGCCACTGAATCTAGCTCTCAACCTTATCAGTACTCTTGAGGTGCTCAAACTAAAGGAGACTAACTCATGCATTCAAACTTACAAGAGGATGAGTTATATAAAGTAGTTTGCCAACTTATGAATAATGGGGTGGATATTCTTAGTGGTTCATGTTCCGCATGAACCCATGGCCCCTCCTTCCTATCATCAGATATCTTGGAAATAGGTTTTTTGTTGAACTTGATTTTAGGGTAAAGAAAGAGCTAAGCCATGGTGAGGTCCAGTGATATATATCTTTCATGTTGTACAACAGACTATGCCTCTCCGGTGGTATTTCTCCTTCCTTCAAATCTTGAAGGCAAAAATTTATATTCTGGAATAGTATCCTTTATTCTATAGCTTCTCACTTCCCCTCCCCTTCATACTTCTTGGTGGTTATCCAGTTTGAGGAGCATAGTTCTAGGCAGACTCTTTACTTGAAGACTTTTTGACCTCCTAAATGTGATGCACCTTTTAGGTTTTTACCAATCGAATCCTGCTTCTCTGTAATTATATTCAGGTGATCTTAAGTGGAATTTGAGATAGCCCCAACCTTTTTGGTAACACACTTACGATCTCTTGGTTTTCTTCTGTGGATTACTGTATAAGTCCGTTTCCACTGCTTATAACAAAATTTCTGTAATTATATTCAGGTGACCTTAAGTGGAATTTGAGATAGCCCCAACCTTTTTGGTAACACACTTAAGATCTCTTGGTTTTCTTCTGTGGATTACTGTATAAGTCCGTTTCCACTGCTTATAACAAAATACTTGGAACTGGGTGATTTATAAAGAAAACGAAATTTATTGCTTACAGTTCCTGAGGTTAGGAAGTCCAAAGTCCATCTGGTGGTGGTGACAGTGACCCAGGGGTCTCACATTACAAGATGGTGAAAGCAGAGAGAGCAGAGAGAGCAGAGAGAGAGCAAGACAGACTCTCCTACTCTTTTAAAGCCCTCAGAACCACATGCTGACCAACATTTTTAATCCATTCACTACTGAATGGTCCTACAATCCAATCACCAACTTAAGGCTCCAATTTCAATTACCATAATAGGATTTCCCACCCTCTTAACAGTCACAGTGGGGGTAAGTTTCTAATACATAAAACTTGGGGGACACAATTCAAGCTTCAGGGAGTTTTCAGGGGACATAATTCAATCCATTACAATGACTAATTACTTTCTTTGTAGGTAAGTTTTATTGGCTTAGTATAAAAATGTAAGCTTTCTTAATTTTTACTTCTAAGTTGAAGGCAGTTAGCTCTAGTTAACCTCTATGTGTAACCACCAGAAAATAACCTAGAAATCGCTACTGACAATTTTTCTCTCTTCCATTATTCACAAAAGGTAAAAATTTTACCCAGCCATTGAGAATGAAACACGAAGGGTCATATTCCACAGGCTCCCCAGTAGAAAAAGCAAGCTTTTCACAACCCACTTCAAACATGGAAGCACCAAAGCAAATGTTGAACACGGAGAACACTTCCAGGTTAAATGCAGTGGAGACTTCTAGGCTGAATCACACTGAAAAATTAAACCAGGTGAGTTATCTGAGTTTTGAGATATAATATACTGAAAATATGTTTTTAAATTCATGGTTTATCACTTAACTCTGATGAAAAGCTGACCTTTTAAAAATTGAAGTCATTCACTTATTTCAGATTTGAGTAAGCATTTCCTGTGTTTCTGTGGATTAGTAAGAAGTGAGAAGTGGCAGTGAAAAAAGAGTACAATTTTATCAACTCCATGGTTCTGCTATTTTCTGCAGATGACTCCCAAATCTATCTCTAGTTCCAGCTTCTCACCAAAGTTATAGAAGCATATGTGCAACTTACCTCATGAATATCTTCACCTGAATGACTGGCCCTGAGCACCACAATCCTGGTATTTTTCTGTGATTATGATGCTGAAGGACTTTGAATAAAAACTACTAGCATATAACCAACAAAGGCTCGGTTAGGTTAGCATGATAACAATTTAAGTAGAACTCAGAATAGCACCTGGAAATTGAATTCAAGACATAACAGTGCTTTATTCTATAATTTTAAAAAATTAGCTTTAGTAACATAACTTACATATAGTAAAACTTACCTTTTTAAATGTACAATTTTTTTTTTNGAAATTCCACATGTTCTCACTCATTGGTGGGAGCTAAAAAAACAAACAAATTAATTCACCCTCATACACACAAAAAAAAAACCAGGGGGGGGGGTGGGGAAGAAGATATAACAACTATACTTTTATGAAGTTGTTACAACAAGCAAACGGAAAGGACATTCTTGGGGGGGAGGGGAGAGAGGGAGGAGGGAGGGAGGTGTTGGTGATGGGCCATAATAGTCATATACATTTTATATTGACAAAATAAAAATTTAACGGAAAAAAAAAGTAATCCTCTTAATCACCTTATGAGATAAATGGTATTTCATCCCCATTTCACAGATGAAGAAACTGAAACTCATCGAGATAAAATGGCTTGCCTAAACTCACACCAGCTAGCATGCTACAAAAACTGAGCTCAGTTTTCTATGAATACATCCTTCACATCCTCTCTAAAATCTTCATCCTTCCACCACAGCATGTTATATCCATGCAAACAGAATGGCCAAGCAAACAATACACAATGGGTTCACAGAAAATAAGCAAAGGATGGGGTAGGGTGAGGTGGGGTTGGGAAGCAACGAATAGGAGAAACAAGAAAAGAAGTAGCACAAAGAGCAAAAGAAGAACCTTAAGTTGTCTTTATACCTGCTGTGGATTGAATGTCCCTTTCCAAATTCACTGAAGCTTAAATTGTACCCCCCAAAGTTCCAGGTATTGGAAACTTGTCCCCACCGTGACAGTGTTGAGAGTAGAAAATTCTATTATGGTTCAATGATGGTTGTGGGTGTGGTTCTCAGGGTTTTAATGGAGAGCATATGAGAGTCTCTCTCTCTCTGCTCCACCGTTTTCTGCCATGTGAGACCCCTGCGTTGCTATAAAGCCACCACCAAAGAAGACCCTCATCAGTTGTCTTCCCTCAACTTTGGACTTCCCAGACTCTGAAGCTATAAGCAATAAATTTCATTTTCTTACAAAATACCCAGTTCCAGGTATTTATGTTATAAGCAAGAAAAATGGACTAATACAACATCCCTCTCCCCCAGGTAAGAACAAATCCTAAATGAGATTGGCCTGGAGCCTTGAAGAGAACAAACAGAACATAAGCCCAAATGCTCAGCACCTCTGGCCAGTCAGCTGGGCTCTGCATTCAAAGCATTCTCTGTCAGATCCTCTTCCCTAATAAAGCTTTTACGTAGATATTAGCACAACTGGCTGTTTTGGCCTTTCAAGCTAGTGAGTAGCTTGTGTAAATATTAAACTGGAGAGAAATGCCATTGTGTGAACTCTGTGTTGTTTCCTCTGCTAGCCCACTGAATATTAACGTTTGTAGAAAAAGCGGTTTACAACTGCTTACTCTAGTCCTGTAAGCAAAGAGCACTAGAAGACTAGTATTTGTGTTATGAAGCCACCATATTGGGGTCCTGAGGAGAAAAGCATCAGATAGCTCTTCTTTTCCTAGAAAGCTAGTATACCTTTTGAAAGTACTGCCTAAAGGAGAAAAGAAAAGAAGCCCAGCTTAATACTAAAAAATAGAATATACACTTAAGTGAGCCAATCTGGTGTTGACTGGGAATTCTTGAATCACAGAAATGGGCCAGATAAAGCCTTTTCTGCTTGCTAGGAAGGCTAACCCACTTAAAAGATCTGAGTCGGGGGGTTATTAATTGATTTCAGGCATTTACTGAAGTAATTTCAGATTTAAGATTCAGTCTTTTAGATGGAAAAACATTTTGATTCCTGTCAAAATGTAAACGTCCTTGGGCAGGGTAATTCTTTTATCAGTTAACTCTTTCATCAGCTGTGCTTTTCGGGACTCTTTCATCTAAAATGAGGGTCAGCAAACTTTTCCTATAAAGGGCCAGACAGTAAATATTTTTGGTTTTGCCATGACTACTTAACTGCTGTTGTAGCACAAAAGTAGCCATAGAAAATGTATAAACAAATGGGTATGAAGTATTCCAATAAAATTTTATTTACCAAAAAAAATGACAAGTCAAATTTTGCTGACCCTTGATCTAAACAGAAGTTCCCTGATCAGGGAGGCTAAGGTCCCTGGACAGTGAAGGCAGGAGAAAAGTAAGGGGCTTCCCGACAAGGAATCTAAACAGGCTAAGGCCATTATGAGTGTCCCAGGCCATTACTTGTTCTTCAGATAACCAAATTCCAAAAGAAGATTCTATCTAGGGAAACATGGATTTATGTTGCAGAAATGTACATTTTTCTGAAAAGGAGGTCTTTATCTTTCATCCAATTTTCACAAGGAATAATGAGCCCACAAAGGGTGAAATCACATAGCGTAGAGGACTTGTCCTGAAAGTTTACCTTCTCCAGGCCAGCCTCTTACCCTACCTAGTCTTCCAGTGAAGCTCGGTGACCACTGCATATCCACTCACATACATTTCTACAATTTTCCTACAGAAAACTTATCTGTTTCATATTTTATTCTCTCGAAACTCTTTTTGGTGGCTATTTACTTATTGTAATTGCAAAAAGCATATACTCATCAATAGTAGGTTGAGTTTAGGATTCTACACATTTTTAACCTGATCCCAGCTAATGAAAATAAAGTGATGTACTTACAGTTAATGAGACCGTTAGTGTTCTACCAGACACAGAGCCTATCTTCTATCCTTTTATTATGGGCATAAATTTATTCTAAACATACAGAGATGCAGTAATCATAATCAGCCATACTCAAAGATAGCAGAAGTAGTGGAATGAGGGCGTGAATTGAGGTTGTGATTTGGGGCATAAAAAGACAAGCTTTAAGTTCCAATTTCAGATCACAGAAAAAGCATGGAATTTGTCCCTCCTGTACGTAAAAAAAGAAAACACTGGACAAACAAAGCAAAATTATTTCATATCAATAAGAGAACTGAAGTCACAGAGCAAATTACCACACCCAAATCTGGAGAGACATCTGCATCCAGAGAGATACAGCCCTCAAAATTTGCTTATCTGAAGTGGAAGCCACAAAAATCCCTAAGCCACTAGAGATACTTAAAGATTATTTAGACAAATTTGTAAAGGCTGAGTGCAAACTATTTGGACAGTGAGAAACTCCTGGGGTTATAGGGTAGAGGATGGTCCCCACATTTATGTGGGCTTTCACCCCAAAAGTTCACCAGATTCTCACAGGGAGTATCTGAAAAAGATCTCCTCATGGTCCTGGCTGGTAATTTTTAATAAATAATTAATATTATTTAATATGTTTTTAAAAGAATTATAAATGATATACCAAGAGAGGAGATAAAATGTAATCACATAAAATACTCAGTTAAAACCAGAGAAGGTAGAAAAAGAGGAAAACAACAAATACAGAAAATACGAAACTAATAGAAAACAGTTGCAAAGATGGTATATACTAATCTATCTATAACAATAATTAATTTTGTTTTTTTCCCTGAAAGAACACATTTATGTTAAGTGAAATAAGTCAGACACAGAAAAAGAAATACCACATATTCTCACTCATAACTGGGAGGAAAGAAAGGAGAGAGAAAGAGAGAGAGAGAGAGAGAGAGAAAGGAGAGAGAGAAAGAGAGATAAAGGAGAGAGAGAGAAAGGGGAGAAAGAGAGAGAGAGAGAGAGAGAGAGAGAGAGGAAGAAAAGACCACAATAAAACAGAAAGAGAGAACAACTAATTTTGGATGATTTAAATACACCAGTTAAAGACAAAGATTACCAGAGTAGATTTTGTTAAAAGGCCCAAATACTTGGTAATATACTATCTATAAGAAAATTATTTTAAATATAAAGTCTGAGATAGATTAAAAATAAATGGATAGAGAAAGATATAGCACGCTAACACCAATCAAAAGAAATCTGAAGTTGTTATGTTAATTTCAGACAAAGCAGACTTCAGAACATGGAAGATTATCAGGGAGAAAGAAGGACATTACACAAGGATAAAGTGGTCAATTATCCCAAAAGACATAGCAATACTAAATGTGCAAGTCAAAACAGCATCAAAAATCTATGAGGCAAAAACTGATAGGACTGAAAAGAGAAATAGACAAATCCACTATTAAAATTGGAGACTTCAACAACCCTCAATCAGTAATTAAAATCAGTAAGGATACAGATGACCATATGGCATTACCAATAGACTTGATCTAATTAATGTTTATAGAATAATCCATCCAATAACAAAATAATATACACTCTGCTTAAGTTTATATGAAACATTCACCAAAAAAGGCCATATTCTGGACCATAAAACTATACCTGAAATTTTGTGAAGGAATATAAATCATATAAAGTATGTTCTAACACAACAATGGAATTAAACTAGAAAGAAACAATAAATATTGTTGGAAAATGCCCAAATATTTGGAAATTAACATAATTCCAAATAGCCCATGGGTTGATAAAGAAGTCTCAAGAAAAATTTTAAAATATTTTAAACTAAATATAAATGACAATAAATCTTATCAAAATG